GACAGACTCACAGACAGATGGACAGACAGACAGACAGACAGACAGATGGATGGACAGACTGAATAAAAGTAAATGTAGAGACAAATGCTACTAAATGTGTTGGTCTGTAGACAGACAGATGAGTGTGACATCAGTATTTACAGAAAAAACAGTGACTCTGAAGACTGAGCGGAGTGATATCGTGTTGTCAGTTATGGAAATGTGAAGTTCTTCTAGTGTTTCTGTCAGAATGTGGAGGAGAAATAAACCCCTCAGTCATTTTTTCCCATCATCATCATCATCATCCTTTGACCCCTGGCTGTTCTCACCCTCGAGAAGCTTCTATGATCCTGTCGACGACTGAAGAGAGAAAGACATTGAAATCACACCGGTGTCTCCCGTCAAACACCTCGCTGACAGAGAAGGAAACTCCACACGGCAGACGCCACCGAAGACAGAGAGAGACAGACACATACAGGCAGACAGAGAGAGATAGATGGACAGAGACAGATGGACAGACAGACAGACAGACAGGGAAAGACAGACAGATGGACGAATGGACGAACCGACAGACAGAGAGACGGACAGATGGACAGACAGACTCACAGACAGACAGACTCATAGACAGACAGACGGACAGAAGGACAGACAGACGGACAGAAGGACAGACAGACAGATTCACAGACAGACAGGCTCATAGACAGACAGACTCATAGACAGACAGACTCACAGACAGGCTCATAGACAGACAGAAGGACAGACTCATAGACAGACAGACGAACAGAAGGACAGACAGACAGAAGGACAGACTCATAGACAGACAGACGGACAGAAGGACAGACAGACAGACAGACAGACAGACAGACTGACAGAAGGACAGACAGACAGACTCACAGACAGACGGACAGACAGACAGACAGACTCACAGACAGATGGACAGACAGACGGACAGACAGACAGACAGACTGACAGGAGGACAGACAGACAGACTCACAGACAGACGGACAGACAGACAGACAAGCTCATAGACAGACAGACGGACAGAAGGATAAACAGACAGACTCACAGACAGACAGGCTCATAGACAGACAGAAGGACAGACAGACAGACTCATAGACAGACAGACGAACAGAAGGACAGACAGACAGACTCACAGACAGATGGACAGACAGACAGACAAGCTAATAGACAGACAGACGAACAGAAGGACAGACAGACTCACAGACAGACAGATGGACAGACATACAGAATAATAAAGTTACTCAAATTTGACAAAATAATAAAACTGGGATATATAGCACATATCCCAGCTAACAGAGAACACTCAGAACTTTGGCTAATGTTCTGGCAAGGTTCTCTCGAAGTTATAAACTTTCAAGTAACATTAATAGAACGTTTGTTCAATGTTATCTGGTCTTTAATGATGTTCTCAAAACGTTTGATCAAAAACATTATTTATAACAATATTTAGGGAATTTTTTTCTGAAATGTTTTAGTTGCACTTTCTTCTAACATTTTTAAAATGTTACTACTTGCATCGGAACGTTAAGAGAGTTTTCAAAAGTTATGACCAGTCTTGCCTAAAAAAAGAAATTAAATGACTAACTTTTAAGACTAGTCTAAGCTGTTTCCATGCTTGTGTCCTTAGTTAATACCCATAACCCTTCACTAATGTGAAGCTCTGTCACGCCGCCAGGAAACAGATCCCAGCATGTGTTTTTGTGTTGATTGTCCTGGCAAAAACTCACAGAAGAAACGCCAAGCTTTTAAATCGAGCTGGTCTCTTGAGACGCCAATGTAACACTGATAGCAACAAATGACAGTAGTATTTATAGACAAACACCTGTGGACACTAGAGACGTGAATGAGATCTGATCAAAACACAACACCCTGATGAACCTCCACAGCATTGCTCTAAGCCTCATCAGGATCCGGTTACTTTCTGTGCAAATATTCAAGATTGTTTCGAGCAGCTTCAGTAATCATTGTAGATGATCAAATATAAACTATCTGATTCTGACCATCAGTTCATACAGAAACATGATCATGAACATGACAGGAAAATCATCTCAGCTAACAAGGAACGTTCTCAGAACTTTGGCTAAGGTTTTGGCAAGGTTCTCTCAAAGTTATGACTTACGTTCTTCTAGTAATATTAATAGAAAGTTCATTCAGTGCTATCTGGTCTTCAATCATGATCTCAAAATGTTAGCACAGAAACATTATGTATACAGCAGCATTCATGGAACGTTTTATTACCGAAACATTTTTGTTGCACATTCATCTAAAAATGTTGCAATTTTTGTTGCAAAAAGACTTTTTTTCACCCAAAATACGTTTTTTAAACATCTATTTTTAATATTCTAAGAACGTTAAAATGTTGAGTTTTCTTGTCATGATTATAGTGTTATTTAAGAGCTACAAAAACCTCTTACAACATCGTACTAACTTTATTTTCACCCAAAATATGTTATTTGAACGTTTACTCCGTTTCTTAGAACATTCAAGTACAAATAACATCATAAAGGACATTTTGAGAACGTTGTTCTAAGAACGTTTTCTCTCAACATTTTGAAGACGTAGGCTATATCAAATATATATGTATGAAGGGGCGTCGTTTATGCGTGATTATGTAACGAGAGCTGGATCATTGTCACCTTTAATGTAGAAGAATCTATTTGTGGATCTGCTCGGTTTCAGGAGGCTTGGCATCGCTGGATCTTCTGGAGGATTCCAGCGCGTGACACACACACGCATCCAAACCCGCTACGTGTTTTCAAAGACGTTTAACGAACACTCGCCCCGTCTGTCATTGGTCAGTTCAAACGGATAGTCCCGCCCACAGACTCACACGATTGGTCGAGTCAGAAGCTGCTCAAATTAACATTCTGAAAGCGAGTTTATGTTATATTAAAATAAACAAAAACATACCAAGATGGTTATGATGTATTCAATTCTACTAAAGAACTGAACCGAATCAACTCTGAAATGAATTGAGCTGAATAATGACACTTTTGTCTTGTTAGAGCTTTACATTTTAAATGAAGTTTGCATCTGTTATTTTCCTGTTTAATGTTGTGAATCTGCTTTGAAATAATCTAGGCTACTGTATAAAGTGCTGTATAGAGATAAATGTGACTTGAATTATGTATTACACCACAGAAGAGTCTTCCTTAATTTGATATGAACACCTTTCTTGAAAAAAAAAAAGGTAGGCTATTTTCTTTGAAAATGTACATTTATGAATGTAAAATTTCTTGTTAGAGCTTTACATTTTTAATGAAGTTTGCATCTGTTATTTTCCTGTTTAATGTTGTGAATCTGCTTTGAAATAATCTGTAGGCTACTGTATAAAGTGCTGTATAGAGATAAATGTGACTTGAATTATGTATTACACCACAGAAGAGTCTTCCTTAATTCGATATCAACACCTTTCTTGAAAAAAAAAAAGGTAGGCTATTTTCTTTGAAAATGTACATTTATGAATGTAAAATTATATGAATTTATGAAAAAATGATATATAAATGAAATAAAAATTTAATTATAAATTAATTAAAAACATCTAGACGCAAAGAATTACAAAAGAATGTTTGGGGATACATTGCTTTTTAAAAAAATATGACAAGTCAGTCTGAAACGTTTTGCACTAAACATAGTTCTAAAATAAGTCGAGAATTATTTCTTCAAACTGATGACAAAAAGAGCTATTCTTTATCTGTTCTGTTCCTCTTTTGTCCACACAATGAAAGTAAATGGGGTCCAGTGTTTTTCATACCCAACATTCTTCAAAATATCTTCTGTTGTGTCTCACAGAAGAAAGAAAGTCAGGTTTGGAACATCATGAGGGCGAGTAAAATGATCATTTTGGGTGAATTAATGTTTTCAGAAAGTAAATTAATCAGAACTATGAAAAGGAAGGAAAAAAGAGTATGTTTTATAAGAAAATGAGATATTTAACATCCAAAAAATCCATCAGCTTAACGCAATAGATCCAACTTGAGTTATTTTATATGGCAAATTTCACAAAATAAACTTCTACCACATACACATTTCTCTCCTGTATCAAAATATTGGTTATTCATTTAGTCCATGAAGGCATGCAGTATAGATAATGTTATGAACATGTCTCATATGAATATGTTTCATAAGATTATCCAATTTGAACATGTCTCAGATGTGTTTGGTTTGAAGCAGCAGCTCCAGCTCGAGTGGTTTTATATTGTAATGTGATCTCGACTCACTCCACTTTGAGCTGCTTCACCAGCTGCTGGATTCCAGCAATGGGACGTCACTGGCATGATCGCCATGGCAACAGTGCTCCTGGATCAGGTGCACTCACGAGGAAAAGAGGAGACGGAGCAGCAGAATTCCTCCATCTGCTCTGCCTTCTGGAAAGATTTATATTGAGGTTATTTCAGCTCACACACAAGTCAACAAGCTGCTGTAAGTGGAAGAAGAGACGACTATAACCCCTCAAAAGCACTCCTCTCTCATGATGCATCATTTCTGATGCTGATTTTTATTTTTTCGTATGTTACACGTATGCTGTGGCACAGAGGCGTCTGTCCGCATTAATGATGCTGAAAATTCAGCTTTGCATTACATTTTACAATATATTCACTTAGAAAACACATATGTGTCCCTGGAGCACAAAAGCAGTCTTAAGTCGCTGGGGTATATTTGTAGCAATAGCCAACAATACATTGTATGGCTCAAAATTATACATTTCTCTTTTATGCCAAAAATCATTAGGATATTAAGTAAAGATCATGTTCCATGAAGATATTTTGTAAATTTCCTACCGTAAATATATCAAAACTTAATGTTTGATTAGTAATATGCATTGCTAAGAACTTCATTTGGACAACTTTAAAGATGATTTTCTCAATATTTAGATTTTTTTGCACCCTCAGATTCCAGATTTTCAAATAGTTGTATCTCGGCCAAATATTGTCCTATCCTAACAAACCATACATCAGTGGAAAGATTATTTATTCAATTAAAAAAAAATTATGACTCTCTCTCTCTCACACACACACACACACACACACACAGGCTCTTTCTGCATATTGTCAGTCATGCGTGTCACAGGTGTGTTGAGGCTCAGAGGCGTCCGTCTGTAAAGCACTAACAACAGAGCTCAGCTCACCCTCATCCCACTGGAGAGCTGCAGCAGCTGGACTCTGATCCAGAACCCCACAGCTGAGTCTCGCAGACGCTTAAATACTGTGACCTCAGCACTGCTGCTCCAATCCGGTCCGGTCCAGTCCAGCGTGGCTGCTTTAAGAGCTGAGAGATGCATCAGCTGCACTCACAGAGACTTTAAATCTGCCGAGTAACAGACTCCAGCTGAACCTTGTGCAGGTAAGAAGCATCCAGACGAGCCACATCTGCAGAAGGATGTTCTTCAGTCTTTGCCCTTTCATCTAATTTAAGGCCATTTCAGTGCATCATGGAGTTTAGACTGGTCTGGGTGTATAACGTGTTGATTGGATGCACAAGCTTTTGCAGTTTTGCAACATGCATTTCATTGTTCATGCAAACTCAGGTTCTGCTGTGCTGTGGTTTTCTCTCAGGTTTGTGTTTTGCTACACATTGCTGTTTGTGACACTCCTGCTGAATGATTGTGTGCTTGCAGTTTTAGTTTGAGGGGAAAATAACCTCTTTAAATATGTCAAAATCTTAGTTGGGAGACATTTGGGATGAAAATGTTAAAAAGTTTGGGATCGGTACATTTTCTTTTTTTGACAGAAACTGCATTAAATTGATCAAATGTGACAGTAAAGACATTTATAATGTTACAAAATGCTGTTCTTCTGAACTTTCTACTCATCTGTGAATCCTGAAAAATAAAATGTATCACAGTTTCCACAGAAATATTATTGATAATAATCAGAAATGTTTCTTGAGCAGCAAATCAGCATATTAGAATGATTTCTGAAGATCATGTGACACTGAAGACTGGAGTAATGATGCTGAAAATACAGCTGCGCATCACAGAAATAAATTACAGTTTAACAGATATTCACATGAGAACAGCTGTTTTACACTGTAATAATATTTTGCTATTTTTAAAGTATTTTTGATCAAATAAACACAGCCTTGGTGAGCAGAAGAGACTTTAAAATATTTAAAAAATGTGCCAACCCCAAACCTCTGAACCTTTAAAGATCTAAAAAATTTTACATTTTCTTGCCTATAATCATTAGAATTGATTTTATGTAGAAACAAAAGTCTATGATATGTGATAGGGACAGTAAATGTGTGTGTGTGAGAGAGAGAGTGTGTGTGTGTGTGTGTGTGTGTGTGTGTGTGTGTGTGTGGGGGAGTGTGTGTGGGCGTGGTATTCTGCTGGACACACTTATTTTAGTATTATTTACGCACTATTATAGTCTTCATTAATTATTTAAACTAATTTTTATTTTTATACCTTTAGTTTTTATTTTAATTTTAGTTACTTTTGTCATTTTTATTATTTTTCATTTTAAATATTACTATTTAGCTTTCATTTATTTTAGATTAAGTTCAGTTTTAGTTTGAATTTATTTTTATTTAAAAATTTTAATTACCTTTAGAATAATATAAATATAATTTAAATATTGAAAATATTTAAATGTTGCTTTGGCAGCTAACTGAAATGTGTTTTTCATCTAATATTTATATTTTATTTTATTTCAGCTTTATTTAAAAAAAAAAAAAATGATTTACTAGGTTTAATTTTAGTTGCCAAAAATAACCCTGGAGCTAGACTAATCATAGCTACACTAATTACAGTAGAAAAATTATTAAGTCATGAAACTTTTATGTTAAAATGTGCTTTTTAACATAAATAAAACATTTTGCCATATTTCACCACAAAATCAGAAGCTAGAAATAAGAAATAATATTTTGCATAAACAAAACCTATTTTAGAACCTATTTTAGAAATGTTGCTTTGGAAACCAACCAAAAATAAATTCGTTTAAATTTATTTTAAAATGAATTGAATTTTATTGTATATTTTTTTCTATAATTTATTTTAGAATTTGCCTTTGGCAACTGAATGAAAGAGGTTTAGGTTTTTCATCTAATATTTATATTTGGTCATATTTCAGCATTATTTCATTTAACAAAAATGTTTTAATAGTTAATAACGTGTTTTTCATTAAAATATGCATTTATTTTTATTTTAGCAATGATCTAAAGAACACTTTTAAATGTTTCACTGATGTAACTTTTAATTGAATAATTTAGTGAAATGTTTTGAAACATTTTGCTCTTGCTTGTTCCACTGCTGTCTGACTGCAAAACAGCTACAAATATAAGCTTTATTAATAATGCATCATGAACAACCGCTCAAAACAACCAGCAAAAATAATCCGCCAATCCAGTCAGAGAACGTTCATTTCTCAGCCGTCTGATTTATAGAAATATGACTGCCATCTTCACTACATACACTGTAAAAAATGTTTTAGATTATCAGAGTGCGTTTTACAAAAAAAAAACGGGAGTGTGAGTGTGAGGTTGAGTGTGTGTGTGAGTGTGTGCGTGTTTTTGTGACAAATGAGGACATAAATTTGTATAATGACAAAGGTATGACATAGGTATTACAAGGAGAAGGTGACTTATGCGGACATTACCCCATGTCCCCACTTTTCAAAACGCTTATAAATCACACAGAATGGAGTGTATTGAAAATCTGAAATAGCACAAAGTTTCCTGTGAGGGGTAGGTTTAGGGGTAGGGTTGGTGTAGGGCAATAGAATATACGGTCTGTACAGTAGAAAAACCATTACGCCTATGGAGAGTCCCCACTTTTCACAAAAACAAACCTGTGTGTGTGTGTGTGTGTGTGTTTGTCGCAGCAGTTAAACTGATGATAGATTTGTGTTTGAAATTCAAAGCCAAACAGGGGGTGAAACTTGGACGGATGAATAGATGGATGGATAGACTGCTGGCTTCATTTCTTAATGACCAGCATACTTGTCTATTTTCCACATCTCTCTCTCTCTCTCTGTCTCTGATCCAGAGCTCCGGTCGTCTCCAGTCTTCCAGCTGTCGTGTTTCTGCTCTGAACATCTCAGATGGACCGATTCGCACAGGAGCTGTTTCTGAACTTTATGATTGTGTTGATCACAGTTCTGCTCATGTGGTTACTGGCCAAACAATATCAGGATGCATGAGGAGCTCATTCCTCCTCCTCATCATCATCATCATCCTCAGCTGTGAAGATGAGCTCCAGCACCGGATGATGATGTTTCTGCAGACGGATGGAAGATGTGCCAGTCAGGATGAATCGTCTCGTGATGCCTTCAAAAGCAGCACAGTTTGTCCGTATGGATTATTGTCATGTGTTAAATGTTAAATGCTTTGATACCCTGGATGTTTAATGTGATAAATTGGGAAAAAACACTCAAATTAACTGCAGAAAGAGTACCAGCAATGTGTCGAGAGAAGACATTGTTTTATTTGTTTAAATAAAGAACTCTTTGGCAATGCAACTGTGTGTTTGTGTGTTACGGCATGCGTCTCTACACTGTAAAAAAAATCCGTAAAATTTACGGTAAAATACCGGCAGCTATGGTTGCCAGAACTTTACCGTGAAAAATACGGTAGGAACATTTTAGGTTTTACAGAACTGTTTAAATTTACAGTGAAAAACTGTATTTCATTACTGATACAATGTTAACATGCAAACCTTTGAGTCCAAGAGTTGGGCTCTTGAACCTTGACTTTTTAAAAATAGTTTTTTTTGGTTGCTTAAATTAGCTGTGTTTATTTAATGCAGCTTTTATAGCAAGAAAAGCCAAAAGAATCTCTGATCAGATAAAACGGGTGTTTGTGATGTCAAGACCATCATGAGCTAGTCTGATTCACTTGACAATCAAAAAAAAAATTTCATGCTGCAATGCATGCTGGGAGTTTTGTACCGGCAGCCAGCATGCAATGCGGCATGATTTTTTAAAATTAATAATAGTCACCATTGTTGAGATTCATGTGCTGATTCCTTATGTCTGTGTGTGTCTAAACGGTGCTGTAGCTCTAAAGGTTTTGCGCATAAAATGTTTTAAATTTTTTTTACATATCTTGTAGAGTCATATTAGTACCATAAACAATAAAAATTTTAATCAACCCCACTAATTGAGATCAGTGAATCAGATCACAAGATGATGATTTCATCATCAATAATAGTTATCAAAACCACTACATTACAATTTATCTCGGCTCTTCTTGTCATAATAAATGTGCTTTACACACACAGAAGCAACAGCAGAGAAAAACTAACATTAAAGAGTCAAGGGTCAAGAGCACAACTAAAGCAACCACTGATCGCCAAACAAAACATTTTCAATACAATATAAACCTCGGTTAATTCTCAAAGAATTTTTGTAGATATATCACAGAACTAAAGTGATTTACATTAAGATACAGAAATACAATGTTAACTTTAAACTAAAAATTCTGCAACAAGATCACAAAGTTCAGGAGTTAATCTGAACTGATTTACATTAAATGCTCTCTAATGATGCACTTCAGTACATATGTCTATCATCTATAGATTACTACAGATATGTGTGCAAATTCTGCTTTAAATCTCTTTTCTCACATAAAGCCTTCAAAGGTTTTTTAATATAGCGCACAAGCCATAGAAAATGATTTCTGATGCTCTTTTTGACATTTCTGAAGCTTGACAGGCGTGATTATTATGAACTGTTGTCGTGTGGAGAGCGTTGAAGAAAGTTTGTCAAATTTTTACAGTTTTTCTGGATTGCTAACACACTATAACTGATTCATTTGGCCCAATTTTCCAAACCATTCATACAGGAGCATCAAAAAATGAACTCAAACAGCACACATTTATCCCTGTGTGAACATTCAGTACCAAAACTGATGCCACACAGGTCAGAATCTCAGGATGATATGAACAAGAGCACAGCTGATTATGAGTTTTGGAAAATGAATCCTGGTAGTGCGAGACAAAGAGGAATATGAGGGGGAATAAAAATGAAGGGGATGAGGTCAAATTTCATTTTACAAAGCACTATAGTTGAGCATGTTCTTCTGCATGCACTGACCATGAGGGAAGGTTTCAATACTACTGACACATACAATATAATTACAGTACATAGCAGCAGTACTGCAGATGAGAGAACTTTCATTATTCTATGTACAGTAAATACTGTAGCACATGTTGAACTGATTTGAAGCCAAGTATGTACTGTATTTGTGCAGAACTGAGAGACGGCTGTCTAGGGGAGGCAGAGAAGTCTTTTGTCAGAAGACTTAGAAACTGCTATAACAAATAAGGATACTACCAATACTGGGATGCAATTTGGCAGAGGATGCTGAATGAATTTATTTACAGTAACTGACAGTATATTCCAAAGTGTGTTTACTGTATATTCTGATGTTTGGTCTTTGAACTTTTCTCTTCTAGTGCTTTTCATCTACTGTAAGATCTCTTTATAGTGTAATGAAAGTAAACGTTTCTTAGAGTTTAATGCTGAATTTCACTGTATCTGCACCCCTCTATTTATGTTGTATACTGTAACAGACATTGACTAGAAAAAGGATTCCTGTTTCCCAAAAGCAGGTTTGTGTAATTGTTTTGAGTTGATGTCACTAGTGTTCTCTAGACAGTGAAGTATGTGTGTATTTGGCAGGTTTGTGTGTCATCTGAGGCCAAAGTTTGAGTCTGACAAAAGAGAACAAGTTTTTGACTAAACTATTTGACTTTGACCTGGAAGTTTGAAGTTTGCACAAGTTTGTGTGTAGTTTTGAGATTGTGTTTACAGTTGTCAGAAAATGGTGAATTGCGTGTTAGTAACCGAGAAAATGTGTTTAGAATGACACGAGGAACAGTTAAAGGAATAGTTCAGCCAAAAATGAAAATGATCTGAAAATGTGCTCACCCTCAGACCATCCAAGATTATGATTGTGATGTTTTTATCAGCTGTTTGGACTCTCATTCTGACGGCACCCATTCACTGCAGAGCATCCATTGCTGAGACACTGATGCAATGCTACATTTCTCCAAACCTGATGAAGAAACAAACTCATCCCGATCTCTGATGATCTGAGAGTGAGCACATTCTCATTTTTGGCTGAACTATTCCTTTAAATCATGGCCGCAATTTACTTTTCATTACCTCGTTTTCAAAACGAATTAGTGCATCATGGCCTCAATTGAGTTGATGGCTTCCCGCTGGATTCCAGGGGCCTCATTTATAAAGTGTGCATACGCTCAGATTTGATCTTAGAGTGTGTATGCGCTTAAATCCACGCTAACGCTCATATTGGTAAAAACTGGCTTTGACTTGACAAAGTGCTTAGCGTCACGTCAGGGTCTGAGCAGACCTACGCACTTTTCTTGTTGGAGTACTGCAGGTTTATGGAAGTGTAAGCTGTTCTTGCAGCTCGCGGTTTTAAATTAAAGCAGTAAGCCCCAAGAAGCTGTGGTTTACAGTGAATTTATAACAGCTAAGGGGTGTTGTTAGGTACAACGCGAAGCGGATTTATAGCTGTTATAAATTCACTGTATACCACGGCTTCACGGGGATTATTGCTCTTATAAAACGGTTATTCCATATACGTAGTAAGGTTTCACAAAATAAAGCAGAGCAAATAAAGTGTAATGATATTAATAAAAACAGTATTCTTCCACCAAACAATGTAGCTCCTCAGAAACAGTTGTGGTTGCAACAAAGTGGTTGCCGAGCAACAGACAAACGTAAACAAAGGTGTATGTTACTTTGTAGAGTAATTTACAACAGCTTCGAACGCGGCTCAGCCAATCAGAATCAAGGATCGGAACTATCCGTTTTATAATAAAGAATTCGGATGATGACTGGTGATCTTTTATATGTTAATGACATTAATTAGGAGTAGTTTACAAGGCAGAGAGCTGAAACCATTAAGTTGTGTGCAAGTTTAAGATAATTTGCGATTCATAGATTTCACATCTGAAAGAGAGGCGTACGTGCGTTTTCTGTGCATTCTATGAATCACATGTACGCCAGTGGTGTGCGGTGTTCTAAAATGAGGCAAAAAAATATATATATTTTTTTTTAATCAAATGTAAATTCATGTCCCAGTCACATTTTCTTAGTTAAATAAACATTATTTACACTATCAGAAAAAGAAAAAAAAAATTATATTTTATATTTTTACATTAACAATGTAATGAATATTTTATTTATTAAAGCCATGTATGAATCTCATCAAGTTAGTGTTTTTAGGCATTTTACATTTATTCCAAAATAATAACTCAAGGCAGTAACAATTTAAAAATATATTTTATTTTGAACTTATGTTCAGCTATTCTTTTTAATAATGAACTTTTAACTATGTTTTAATTTTTTGGATCATCAGTCATCAAAGCTCGGTAAATATTG